TTTAATGATGGTTTTCGAAAACGACCACCAAGCTCCTTTATAATCAAATAATATTAAAATATAAAATTATCATTTATTGTCCCTGCTACTAATTCGTCCTCCGCACGTTCTGCAAGTACCGTTGTTTGGCAAGAGTCACTCGAAGTTGACTTCTGAAAACAGTGGTGGTCGTATCGTGAGCCGGCCAGACTCTACAGAGACTTTCTTATTTTAGTGGAAAAGGTTCATTTTTCCAAACTCAGACATTGTATGTTCAATAGAAGATACGCCTCTTCCGTCGTTTGATGTGTCTAGATTCAGGGGTTCACAACGAGGTCAGTATCCACACCTTCGGCATCGATGAAATTTTGAAGGGGGTCAACAGTGATATAGGAGTCGTGTAGAGGTCTACAGTGAAATATAAACCGGCTAATGTTAGATATAATAAATATATAATTCATTATAAAATATAGAATGTACTCGACAATTAATGGGTTTCTGATGTAAACAAACAAGACATTTTATAATAATTTATAACTACACCCCTCTTTCGTATCCGCCATTTGTGCTTAGGATTAAGGGCTGGTGCAAACAGCCCACCGCACGGGTGCCCGTAATAAAGGACTTTGCGGACAAATATTGGCAAGAAATAAAACAAATTGCACACGATGCGTTTGATGTCCATTTCACTTCTTATATTATTGTACCTATTAGATTTAAAACTTATTTCATATTTTTTGGAGTCAGGGTCGTTTCGACTTTCTCCACTGGGCATTCGAGAACCTAGATACGCAACTCCTTAGAATGTTTAGAAAACTCAACAAATTATAACTATGTATTCACAGAGGTACTTTATCCGGAAGAAAATACTTCCTGAAAATCGCAATGGAGAAATGCTATGAGAAGTCAAAAAATATTTTGTAATCATTGCACAACAACGAAGATTAAAAATTCTGCATTCCAGAGGCAGAAGCGTTTTCGATTATTGGAAATGTAGATATTTACCAAAATATTGGTGTAGTTAATTAATATCGTTAATACATTTATATTCAATTCTTTGTGCTGTAGACAAAGATGTATGCTATTGAGTTTATTATTGAGTTAATGTTACATATTACAGTAGATTCAGTGCGAATTATTAATTTATTGGTTGTACGTGCTTATTTATTGTGTGTCAATAATTTGAGTAATAAATGTTTTCTTATCTTTTAAATAGCTTTGGCGCTTCATTGGTTCACACAGGTTATGTTCCTTCTCTACACATTTGGGTGTTGTTATTGGAAGCCCGGTGTTCTGACTCAGTAGATGATATTTTAAATGTAGTTTAAAGCCGGAACTCGGATTATTTAATGAGCAATCAACGAGGAAGGTAAAAATTGATATAAACAATTGTATAAAAGTAAAAGAAACGAAGGGGATAGTACTATTAATTATTGTATTTCATTATGTTTTATAAGAATAATTAAGCTTATTAACTTGTTCAGTAGTTTTAGATATGTTGCATAATATGTTGAGGTGAAAAATGTTGTGTTTAGGAATGTATATTTACCTTTGCTTAATATATTTTATTACATTTTCCATACTACGCAAACATTTTTGTAGCTGACCTGTAATCGTTTAACTTTCTATACTTCAAGAAATCAGTCGGCCGGAAAAAAGGTGCTTGCCATTCCATCTCCACCTAGTACTAAAGCTAGAAAAAGTTGGAACTTTTAACTTCCATCACTTTAGACACACTCCGCTAAACTAGTGTGTATACGTCTCTTTTGCGATGAGGGTAGTTTACGAAAGCACGGGGGACCTCAGTCTTTGTGTTCAGAAAATCTTGGACGGACGTCCCTTCCTCCTGAAATAGCGTCTGGTGTGATTCGTGGGTGCTCATACACAGTCTTGGAGGAGGGAGGGAGGGTCTCAAGCCAATCTCAATGTCGAATTTTTGGCGGACAAAGCGATCTCTTGGGGTCTGCCCGTTGCCCCTGCCTCTCAATCCGTTTCTCCGTCATCATTCACCTCATCACCATTATCTGTATCATCTACTCCTAGGCTCATCACTCACGGGCCTTTAGGACCTCAGCCAGTCGAGTCCCCAAACTTCAGTACGTATGCAAGTTATTGAAGGCAGCGCTGCTCGGCAGCTGGGCGGCCGGCCGGCTTTGCCTGCTTTCCTCGCGGGAGAGAGAGCGCGCGCGCGTCCGCAGGCGGGGGCTCGTCGCACCCCCTCCGCCCTCCTGCGCTCTCCCCTTCAGCGTCATCCCAGCTGTGACACCAGCGCGCGACCGCGACACTTCAGACGCGGCGAGAAAGGACTCTCGCCACCCGTGCCTGCCTGCGAAGCTGCAAATGAAGCAATTTATTGATTATATTCCAAAAAATTATATAGAAGCTCAGGCAAGATACATGGCATGCTTTGCCTGCATTTGGTAGGGGAAACTCACGCATTCACGAACGTGAATTCACACATGATGCTGTCACGCACAACTAAATTAGTCTGTTGAAGACTCGCAATTATAGCGTATTCATTACTTCTTTTTCTTTTTTCGCCCACATCTGTTGCCATCCCAGTAGCCTTCATCTTGCCCAGTGCTCGTGCGTGTTCTATTTTCTTTACATTAATGCACGTTTTTGCTTTCCTTCCGCTGGGTCTCACTAGCATAATTATTGGCTGATTCACCTGAAATGCTCTGTGCGCTAAAATGTGATGTCTGTTTGACTCAGCCGTTCAGGCGCAATTGCTTCACTGGTTAGAAAACCTCCTCCTGCTCCTGCTGGCTGACGGCGATATCCTCTCAAGAGTCAAGGGGGAAATATCGCACATCTGAAGAAGCGTGTCAAGAGTTGTGGTGAAAGTGATTGACAGTGCATCCTTGAAAGGACGCATATCGCGAGGAGCCGGGTAACCAATACGACGCTAAGAAACCACGCCTGGCTAGGAGTAGGGGAAAGTTCCTTTTGCTCTGGGAAACAAGCTCCTCCTTCAGATTTGTTCCCGGTGCATTTATACCTAACTTGCATCCAGTAAGGTTTTCATTAAGTTATATGAATGCTTCGTATGTTGCTGATCCAAAAGTTAAGGAGCGCTGAGGGATTTTTGCTGACATATTTGAGGTATTTGTTGATGCTACTCCACGAGTGAAAATGTATAATTAAAAATATTACTTTATAAGAATAATACGAATGTAATTAGGAATCAATAAAATACAGTATTAATGTGAAACACAAGCTAATGCTCTTGCTATAAAGAAATTTTCACTACCCTAGCGATCAAATCTTTCGGTTATTTCGTTTATGAAAGTTCACAAAAAATAACGTATTCATAAAATGTGTTGGTTATCATTTCAAAAGTGAAATAGTCACAGAATGATTAGTCTCATTTGATTACAGACTTTGTAACATTTTCTGCGATGTATGCATATGTATTAATAGAACGAATGAAATGAAATATAAAGTAAACATACGTAAGATAGTTATATGCACCATTGAATGCACTCCTGAGCGCTGATTGGTATGTCCACGTAATGCTTCCAGTATTGCTTTTTTCCTTCTGTAGCGCCTCGTGGGGCGATGTGATTGACCTTTTCTTCAGTAAGTGATGGGCGGTGGTGTGTTCATTTGATGACGAGTTGTATTTGATAATCTGAAGGTCATGTACAGTTGTGCGTGCTATGATTGATCTGTTTAGCTCTGGTATTAAATTACACATTTACTGAGCTCAATTCGGGGGATGAATTTAAGGCCGTGGAGAAATATCATTTCATTTATTCTTTTGATTTTTCAACTCAATTAATTTATTTTTTCTGTAGATATGCCAATGAACGTTATGAACATATACATTTAAAAAAAACATTCTTTGTGTGATAATTCGTTTAAGTAATTTACCCACTAAAGCGAAGCAACATGGAATCTTGAAGTCTTTAAGACAAGTTCTCCGCCCCGCCAAGCTCCTTTCCGTGTTTCTCTTCTTCATCTCGGTCCGCCAAAATATGAAGTGCAACGGATTGCCATGCAATTGCCGTATGGCGGCTCGACATGAATTTGTCTCTGTGCTCCACGTTTATATTGATTGACGCATATTGGAAAGCCTTGCGTTTTATGATGTGTAGCGGGTGATGTAAACGCAGTAATCCAAACGAGTTGGTGAGGCTTGGAGCAGTCACGACTCATCTTGTTTTTGCGAGACAATGACACGAATCATACGGTACCCGAGTGTTAGTAATGCCAAGGTGAGCCAGTCGTTTAGATCATTTATCAGCTTTTCTTCATCAGGCTGTTTACGTTACTTCTTGTGTGTGAAACGAAACTAGACACTTGGAAGAAGTATTGTTTATCATTAATGTTTTATTATTAATTTAAATCTGCTGAATTGTGACTCATTATTAAATGTGTTATTTCAGTTGATGTTTTCTAGTGCAACGTGGTGACACTGTCTCAGCCGTAATTAAAGAGAATATTTTAAAAATAAACTTACCTTACACTGATCGAATGTATTCAGGTTATGTAGCTGTTGTTGGAGATGTTGATACTCTATATATAATTTTTTTTACAGCAGAAACTTCTTTTAGTTTTGTTTTTCGCGAAGTGGTTCCTGGCCAGCTCAAAAGCTGATCGACTTGCTATTGAAAAGCTTCTTAGGAAATACGCTGATCAGTTAAGCACTCCTTAACTGCGACATTATTCTATAGATATAATGGAATTTACAAGTGAATTCATTTGACGTAACATTGGTAATACCACATTTAATTTATTGTGGTGCGTTTCTCTATGCTTTCGCATATAGTTTCGCGCATAGAATTTACACGATTCAACCAATGTTGGATATACTATTGAATTAAATTTGTGTAAGATGTGATGTCTTGGAGATAGATTCATTTCTCACACTTACATGCCGTTTGTCGTATGGTTGCCTGTTAGACAATAGAGAGAGAGGCTAAACTCTATTTTCGAAAGAGCAGCAGATCATTGTATTAGAAAATGAAATAATCATGACATTCAGACATCACTTCGGTGTCAGCTGTGGCTATTATTCAGTAGTAGTAAGAATATTGTTTTTCAAGATGTCTATTGTTCACCGATTTTGAATTTTTCATTAATTGAATGAAATTAAGAATTATGTTCGTCTTGAATTTTAATTGGAATGATCTGTTGAATTCCAGTATTTCTGTTCCTTTCGAAATAAAGCGTTCCAGGACACTTGTGGACTGTACCGTTCGACGTTTTGAGGAAACACTAATTGCATTAGGAACTATACGGATGTTTTAATGTGAAAGGATATTTTGGAAGACAATACAAAGAAAAACATTACATAAATTTTATATTTTATTTATTTAATTAATTCACGTGACCTTGCTGAAAAAGGCACAACTTAAAAAATATTGACACATACTCTCTGAACGCGCCCGTCTTTCAACCCAAAACCCCCTTCCAAAAATGGAGAAGGGCTCTGATCCCATTGACATTACATCTGACACCACCAGAACTACAATTAATTTAATAATAAAGTTAAAAAAATATAACTCGGTTGGGAAGATAGCGAGAATCCATCTTCCAAGTATACTGTATGCTTAAGAGTCCTAAAAAAACAGCAGCTTCTTGTAGAAAGACGGCGCCGTCACGGCAGGCTGGATACTCACGGTTTGCATCTTGCAGGGGACAACTGGAATTAAATATGTTGGTCGAGTATCGAGTACGCCGTGAGATGTCACATGAATGTCGAGCGGCCGACAAGGAGTTGCCCCGTGCCCGCTAAGAGAGAAAATTTTTAAAAAAAATTGGTGGGAGAGAAATTTTCTTTTTTATCTAGTAGCCGGGCAAGGGGCCACTGCCAGAGCACTCACCGGGAATGCGAGCAGGCAATAAGTTACGCTTATTTACAGTTCTTTGTTTTTTTTTGTAAGTTTTTTAAGTGCATAAGATAATTTTTTCACCCCCTTCCTAGACCAGGAACATTTCCCGCAGTCCTCCTCCATCCGTGTGTTTTTGTCCGTGCGTTTGAGCAAAGCGTCCGCTGGCTCGCGTCGCGCGTGTCCCGTGCGGGTGTGCGTGCGTCGTCGGACATTCAGGTGAGGCCGCTGAGCCTGAGAGCTGGCGGCAGCCGGCGCCGTTGCCGGAGCCCGACAGTGTGCATGAGTGAGTGAGAGTTCTCGTCTTTATTCTTCCTTCCTCGCGAGCGGAATGGCGTGTGAGAGAGAGAGACAGAGGGGAGAGAGGGCGCGGCCGCCGCCGTCGCCGTCACCTGACGCGCCGCTTAGGAGCTGGGCTTCTCCTCTGCCACGGCCGCCGCAGGCGCCTCCTCAGTCTTCTTCTCTTCTTCGGCCACCGCCGCCGCGGGCAGGGCGGGCTTCTCCTCGTCGTTGGGCAGCTCGGACGGCTCGTCCTTGGCCGGCATCTCGGCCGCGGGCACTGGCGCCGCGGTGGCTTCCGGCGCCTCCTCTGACTTCTTTGCGTCCTCCACCGGCGTCTCGGTCGACGCCTCATCGTTCTTCATCTCCTGCTTCTGGGGCTGTTCTTCCTCCTGGGGCTCTTCTTTCTTCGGCTCCTCCTCGGGCTTCTGCTCCTCCTCGGCCTTCAACTGCGTGCTCTCCTGGACGACGGCGGTGGTGGCGGCGGGTTCTTCTTTCTTCAGGTCGGATTCCACGGGCACCACCTCGTCGTCGAGCTTGTTGGTCTTCTTGTTCTTGGGGTCCTCCTTCTTCTTGGGGTCCTTCTCGACGGCTTCGCGGCGACGGCGGTCCTTCTTCGCCTCGTCCTTCTTCGCTTCCTCGGGCTTGGGGTTCTCCTCCTTGTCCTCGGCCTTGACTTCCTTCTCTTCCGTGGGAGCTTCCTCCTTCTTGGGTTCCTCCATCACGGGCGTTTCCTTCTTGGGCTCCTCCGCGGTAGCGGCCGTCTCGGGCTTCTTCTCCTCCTCGGGCTTCTTCTCTTCCTCCAGCTTCTTCTTGTCTTCCTCAGGCTTCTTCTCGGCGTTCTCGGCGACGGGGGCTGCGCTCTCCGGGACGTCTTCGGGCTTCTCGGTCTCACCGCTCTTGACGGTCGCGTCGGCGGCAGGCTTCTCCACGGCCTTGACTTCGTCTGTGGTGGCGGGGGCTGCGTCGGCGGGGGCGGCGACGGCGGCGACGGGCTCCGCGGCGGCGGGGGCGGGAGCGGGCATCTCCGGCTCGGCCTTGAGGGTGTCGGTCTGGGGCTCCGGGTTGCTGGCGGCGACCGCGGGCTCGGCGGCGGCGGCACCGGTCCTGTCGCCCAGCACCGCCTCTTCAGTCAGCTTCTTCTCGTCGGTGGCCGGCGCAGGGACTTCGGCAGGGGCGGGGGCGGGAACGGCCTCGGGCTCGGCGGGCACGGGCGCGGTCTCCGGGACGGCCTTGGGCACGTCAACGGCCGGCGCTGGGGCCACCTCCGCGGCCTCCGGTTTCGGCTCGGCCGCGAGCTCGGGCTTCGCCTCGGCGTTCGCAGGCGCAGCCTCCGCCTGCAACAGAGCGCGCTCATCAACGCTGGTCTATGGGTTTACAACTTAAACTATTATTAGAGCATCTATTATTTCTGGTTTGGTTTGGAAGTCTTCATTGTGTAAAATTATCATGACTTTGAAAATTCACTGTAGGAGTCACCTCCCAAATTACAAAAATCTGTTCATGAATATTGTTGCTAGAATTTACACTTGATCATAACTGTCGTCGAGTCGCCAATGAAATCAGTTTTAAGAAATTATGAATGTGTGAAGTTCTTGGACTTATATTCCTCTCGGAGCTGAGTTGGTTGCAGTATACGGATTTCGTTTAGAAAGAACTTTATAAGATGTGGTGCCAAGCCACTGCCGTGTCTGCTGAATATGTGACAGAATGCTAGTAGAGTGTATATGAATTATTTACATACACATTTATTGTTTTATAATTAAACACGGTCTTCTTGTGCCCACTTTCACTACTTAATATTATGTTAAATTTTGCACAAGGAGAAAATGAGTGTTTTCTTCTGGAAGGGAACCTGATATATGCGCAATTGGCAATACGATCCAGTTGACTAGGTCATTTGAAATAGACCACATCTCCACCAGCTTCCGGCGCATTCTCGTCGTTGGAAAACGGCACATTCTGAAGGCAACACAGACCCACACCTGCTTCGGTACTATTAGGAAACAAAGGATATGTGGCGTTTTCACATAAAGCAGACGAAAGCTATTTCAAAATCAAAACGTCATCTTAATTCATTGTCGCAAACACTGAGGATGTGGCGTTGTTGAAATATAAGATCGAATTGCCGAGGGGATCTCCGAAGATGAGGTGTCTCGAGGTGCCAGGCGGCGTGCGTCCTCACCTTGAGCTTGTCTTCTTCGGCGGCGGCGGCGGCGGGGGCGGGTTTGTTGTCGGCGAGTGGGGCGTCCTTGGCGGGCTCGGCGGGCTGCTCGGTGCGGACGGCGCCCTCGGCCGGGGCGGCGGCGGCGGCGGCGGCGGGGGCGGCCGGGACGACGGGCTGCTGGACGGCCGGCTCAGCCGCCGCGGCGGCGGGCACAGGCGCCGCCGGCGCCGCGTCCTTGGCTACCGACGAGTAGTCGGTGATGACGAGCGGCACCACGGGCCGCGGGCCCTCCTCCACGCCCACGGGCATGGACAGCGCGCCCGCGCACAGCGCCAGCACCAGCGCACAGACCTTCATGGCTCTCTGCAAGCAAAGCACACCACAACTCAGTCCAGCTGGAGAATAGGACACTTCAGAGAGAAATAATTGTAGCTGTTGAAAAATTGATGAATTTATTGGCCGTCTTGATTGTGTTAACTCTGAAAGAACGGGCTTGTGACGTGGGTGCTTGTTTTGAATTTGGTTTATGTGGTAACGATTGCTAGTCACTGGCTGTGAAATGTGTTCGCTTCCCGCGATGCTACTGGTCGTCCCGCACCACCTATTCAGGTAGATGGACGTCGCCAACACGCCGAAGCTGTCGAGCGCATAGGCGTACACCCAGAATACTGCGGGGTGATGGCGAAAGAGATGTGTTGAGCGGAGCAATTTGGTCCTTGGGAGCGGCGGCCCAAGTGCGAAGCCGTCGGAGGGGGTGAGGGGCGGGGGGCCGGGGGCGCAGCGGGCGTTGGCGCGTAACCAGCTCAAGCAGCTAACCAGCGGCCAGCGGATGTGGGCCCATTGGGCTCATGAACGCCGCCGCGTGGGAGTGGGACCTCCCGCTCCCCACCCCGCCACTCTCCTCCTCCGTCGCCCGCCCTGTAATTGCTGCCGGCGCGGCGCGGCGTGGGTGCCAATCTCATCTCGCCGAGCCTTCTGGAAGCCCCCCGCACGGAGGACCTTGACCGCGGCGCGGCGGTGAAGGAGATCGCGGTGACTGAGCGGTTTTACTTTTGGTATTTGCTTGAGTGAACGTGTTCTAGAGAAAGAGATGGAACACTGGACATCGCGTCTGAAAGGATATCACCTGTTTGACCGCTTCGATGAACAACGGAAATAAAACAAAGGAGTACCTCTAAAACACGACGTAAATAAATAAAAAAATATAATTGAAATTTGACTGGTATGTGTCTCAGGCCCAACATTGTCGGCAGATTTCATTTTGCTCATTTTCTGTATATTAGGTAGGTGGTTCTAGTCTACATTTTATTCGCCATAATTGGCCATCATCTAAGGCGTCAAACTGAAGGACCGATGTGATGAATAATTGAGTAGAGCAGACTGGCATTATTATTTTTTTATTAAAGAGGACTTGGTTTCATCCTCCGCTTCCCTTGGCTTTGTCTTCCAATGCTCGAATTGAAATCCAAACTGTCGTCTTTACTTCTCTTCCAACGCAAAGTTCTCCCGCCGACTTCGTCTGGGATTAAAAAATAGCGACCTTGAGCGTTCGGTGCCGGCACGATTATCCGGATAGCCCTGGTCAGACTAATTTTCGAAGCTGAAATCACAGGGAACGCAGTCATTAACTGCGGCGGAAACCGCAGCAGGTGGCAGCACCCAGCAGACACTTATTATGCGCGGCCCGGCCTCCAGGTGAAGCGCCGAAACGACAGGCGAGAGGGCGGCCGCTTTGCCTGTGTGCGCCAGATGAGCCACCGGCGCAGATTGCGGCGTCGCGTCGCGTCGCGCTGCAGCGCGGTTGCTTTTTGCGCGGCCAGGCGTCGATCGCCACCTGCCGCCCGGGCAGCTGCAGCGGGGCCGCCGCTTTCTCCGCCGCCCGCGCCCTCGGGGCGCAGCGCAAGTGCAAGAGGCGGAGGAGGCTGCGAGATAGCTTTCAGCGGACATTCAGAGCTCCGAGTCCCCTGGTTTCGGGAAATATTAAGCTATAAATTGCTCTCTCCGCCCACGTCAAGTTGGTGCGGCTTGTGGAGAAGTGCTGATTGCATGGTGTAGAAGGTTAGATTATTTACTGGTGTTTGCGGGGGACCGGTCTTTTCTCCCCTTGCATTGCAAGGTCTCTAAATCGTCTGGGGCATGCAAAGTAAACCCCAGAGTACATTCGTACTAGTAGGTTACAGTAGTTGTAGGTGGTAGTTCATTTGTTGCAGGTAATGATAGTGGTAGTTTTATTTTGTTGTCGAGGAAATGCTATTTCTTTATGGCATTAGCCATAAAGTTATTTTTACGGTGATGTGATTATTTTTACGGTTATTGTTGTTATTTTTACGTTGAACTTCGTGCAAGTGATAGTTGCAATGGTTTTGAATGTAATAGTTTTTGTTATGGGAAGTTTGCAATTGGATTTCAATGAACAGAGTTGTGAAATTGGATTTTTTCTACTTTTGCGGCCATACGTTAACTGTGCGAATATACGGAATATATGCGAGTTATTAATTTGGCTAGTCTCCTCAAGTATCTGTTATTCTGAAGTATATGTGAACGTGGTGAATTCTCCATAGTACTGTCGTAATGCCTTGTAGAATGTCTTCATTGCGTCAGAAATTCACGTCGCAACGCAAAAGGAAGTATTATTGAACCACCACCACCACCACCACCACCATCGCCTCAATTTCTTTCGCTGACTCTAATTGTCCCCCTGATTCAATATTGCGCATTCTTCGCTTATGAGTACTGGCTCCAATGCCGATCGCAGCAAAACAACGGTGTCTGCGTCGTCGTCGGTTCTCGCGGAATTCCTGCGGTCGCGCGGGGCAGCGTGGCAATGCGCTGCACCCGACTTTCGTTTCGCTGCGAGCCCATTGTTACGCAACGCCCCCCCCCCCGCGCCCTCTCTGCGCAGTTCACGCCTCTGCTCCGGGGCCACGGCGACCCTCCCCTCTGCGTGATTGGTTCGATCATTTCCTTTCCTCTGGCACTGTGGTTCCTGGTGATCGCTGTTGGTGAGCTTCTTGTTTTGCAAGTAAATTTTGATAGGTCCCGATTTGTGTACAAAACGTTGTTTTTTCTTTTTGATTTGGCATTCTGTAAACGTACATTTTAAACTTTCGACTGTATGAATTCACATTGCACTTACTCGTCGTTTGAAAGAAAGTTAATAGAATTTGTTATTAATAATTTGAAGAGTAGCGTGTAGAAAACAATTTCTGATTGAATTTTGTAGCACTCACATTGATAAATCAAATTAAAATTGGAATTGTAGTGAAAATATTTGTAAAAGCAGAATATACACAGTATATAGGGTTTTAAATGCACCTCATATTTCTGTTCTTAGTATTGGTGCACAAAGCACATCCAAAATAATGTCATATTTGATTGAAACGAAGAAATATGTTTAGGAAACAGCCTCTTTCTACTTTGTAAAGTTGCATAAAGATGGTTTGCCAAATAACTCGAATGTTTGGCCGCCAAATAATCGAATCAGTTCAAATTCACATGATATTGATTCCTTCCCCTCGATATTGACAATTTTCGCGTTTTTTTTCTTGAAACGGACGTATTAGGACATGTGATCGTAGATGCAATTGTCTGAGTTTCGCGTGCAGAGGTTGCACTCGCTGCGCGTTGCCGACAGCGCGGCGCGGCGCGGGCTGCAGCGAGGGCAGCAGCGAGAAGGCGTCGCCGCCGCCCCCGCCCTCCGCCTGCGATGCTAATGGCTTGCTGTGCCGCGCCGCGCCGCAGGCCTTGAACCGGCTCCATTGTGTGCAGGCAGGCATTCCTCGCCATTCCCGGAGGCTGCGGCTCCGCTCCGCGCCCGCCGCTTCTCGTCCCTGGCACCTCGACCCGCCGATGGGCTTTCTGCGAATGCGCCCTCCCTTCCCCTTTCCGCTCTCACTCCCAACCTCGCACCGCCCCGCTGCCATCGAAAATGCACTGCTGCAGAAATTAATTTTTATTAGAATGTCAGTAGTAGTCAGTAGGGTTCATCTTGAAGAGCTCTGATAATGGGATCAGAAGGGGGTAGAACTCGCTGGATCACCCTCAAAGATCTACCTCAAGTAGTTCAAAACAGGAGAAATGTTATATTTTACTAATTGATTCCATATAAATGCATGCTAAGTCTTCGTTTTTAATACAAAGATGATGTGAAAACGAAAAGCTAATGTGTGTTAAGCAGTGTCTGTAGTTTGTGCATGTTTGTAGCGTAAGAGCTGCTTTCAAGAACCTTGAGGACAAGTTACTAGCAATTTACTCGTCCCTGTGCAGTTCGTATCCTGCGTTAAATAATACTCGAACGCAGCTCACGGAGCTCATCGTCGTCTGCGCGAGTTGTTTTGCATTTCGCGCACGTAAGACACGTTTTCGATTGCATCATCGCATCATCGGTAGTTCCGGAGGCGCGGCTCTGGGGAGCTCTGTCCAGCGGGAGCCGACGCTGCCGCCAGTTCGGCTAGTCAAGGTTCCCGGCACCGGCCAGCGGGTGGAGAAGATGCGTTTCGAACTCGCCGTTTCACTCACAGTTCTTTTTGGTTTGTTGTGAATTCCGACTTAAATACAACAATTGCGTTCTGCAAACACCTGGAAGAGCAGAGTCTCCTTCGAAGGGATTCTCTGAAAATTCTTGTTTTTGCGCACAGTTGTCGGAGATTCGACGCGTGTCTCTCGGAGGACGCGTGAAGGAAGAATTGAAACTGGGGTTAAATAGCAATTATTAAAAACAAAATGCCATCAATTATAATTAATGAATTATAATACATAAAGCAATAATAAACTTACATTATTAATCTAAAATGTTAATTATGCTGAAATATCGTCTTGAAAGTTCCGTTGAGGTTGGGTGCACTTCCTATTGGTAAGAACTGTTGCCCGACCAGTAGGAAATGCAAACGAAGCTGCTCATGTGTATGTGCGTATGTGGGAGTGAAGCGAGGTGTGGGCGCGAGAAAGTGACTGCATGACGATGGCGGCGGCTGCGGAACACAGTGAGTCGAAGCGGCACCAGAACCTGCATGGTAGAGTTGATATAATATTTACGGAAATATTTGTCCCTTCGGTGCTGTAGTGTTCGTACGCAATTAAATAATGTTTTCGTCTTTTTCCGTTTTAAAGTCTGATGTATTTTTTTAAGGTCAGGGAAAGTTCTGGATGATAAAAAATGTAGGAAGTCCGTTTCGATGTTTATGGATAAGGCAGCATTACCGACTTGCGAAGAACTGAAGAGAGCCGTTAAATTTCGGATGAAATGGTTGAAGCGGTTCTCTCGGGGAAACCCGGAAATGGAAGCTTAAGCAATCCCAGTTAGATGAGTTTTGTATCTCACCCAAGTCAGTGCAATTAATGATGGACAGAGATTGACCGAAAAC